TCGAGGAAGAAAAGCACTACCAGAAAAAAGGTGAAGAAAATATATTGTTGGTATGGGATTAAGGCAAGGAAGCACAAGATGCATCTGCTATTACTAACAAACTTTCAAAGGGCAATTTGAGACGCAGACAGATAATGTGTCGGAGCAGATTCTGCTTTTCCCTTGTATTTCAGCCCTTGATTGGACTGATTGATTTGGTTCCAGTGATGCACTGCTGTGAGCTGCTTCCATTTCTTCTGTGTAAAATGCTGTGGAGACAGAGGGAGGGAGGCAAGCTCAAGGACACAGCAGCAAACAGAGAAAGAAGTAAACTTCTTTCCCTTTCATGTTCAGTCCTAGCAAGACTTTGCTGTTCTTCCTGATGTCAGTCTTTGGGCAGGACCTGTAAGCACCTTATGGCCTCTTTGTTCACATTACTCTGGTTGAAAACTTGTGGAATGTTGTGTAAACTCGTTTACATTTTATGAGGGTATTTCTTCACTTTTAGATACTAAAAGCTATGGAAGAGGGTAATTCAGAACCAAAGAAATTTATCCTTTCATGGTAAAAGAAATTTTAAATTAAGGCATTCTGTCCCAAACTCCCTGCTGGTTGTGGAAAGGGAGATGGCACAAGTCACTTAGTGAGCTAGATGATAAATTTTAAATTCCTTTCACAATATTATTTAAATATGTATTTTTTTCAGTCTGAATAATTCCTAACTATCTCACTTGCCATGACCAGGATTCAATGTTTATTAAACAACTTTCAAAAAGAGATTTTAGAACTTAGAGGCACACATTCTTTTTGGTCAAATGAATGATCTCTGTGAATTTTGAGCCTGATAAGCATATTATTTAGTGTAATTAGGCAATGATCTGAAGAACAGAACTGTGTAGGAAGCGAATGGTTTGCCTTTCCTAAAGAAACTTCTCTGTGCATTTGTGTAATGTGGAAGATTTTTCTTGAAAAGGTTAAAAAAAGTTCTAATCAACTTCTGTACATTATGTAGAACTTCATTTTCTAAACTCTGCAAAAGAAAGTTTCATATTTAATGGGAAATCATGAATTATTCCATTTATTATCTACTTCCTCCTTTCAAAGACATGATCTGGATAAAAGGCGGGGTGAATAATTTCAAAAAATACAATACATTTTTAATGGGAAGGTGCAAACTACAGATTCTCATGACTATTAGCAAGTATAGAGGAAACAGAATTTTACTTGCAAAAACTCATCAAACTCTTGCAAAGATAAAATACATGACATACTTTAATAAAGAAGAACACAGCGAGCTGAAGTTTTTCTTTTTTTATGTAACTTGTTGTTTTTACTAAGTTTGGTCTTACGGTTTTTTAGTGCTTTCATTTCTCGGTCGTTCAACAATATTTACTACTGAAGATAATACACAAGCAGTACACAACTGACTTCTATTTTTAAAAGACTCCATAAAGGTGAAGCATCTCTAACACACAAAAAGAGGATGAGATAAAGAAAGATTGTCTAATCTACCTTGGTACAGTCATGACTTCCTAATAATTTTTGCAATTAATCCTGCATTGTGTAAAATCCTCGCCTTTCCTTTCTTCTCAATCTCTGTGTGGTCTATTTGTCCTTATCCTACTGAGTAAATTCAGCTGGGGACTTGAATAAGAGATCTCCTAAACAAAAGCAAAAGTACTGTGGGAATTGTTCATGTCAATACTGCAATAAATGCAGAACATTGTAGAGGGTTTTATGAAATTTCATAACAGCAGCTTGAGAGGATACAGAAAGTAAATAATTGTTTATCTGTAAAAAAAAACTTGCAGAGAAATGTAACAACTGCTTTGATATCATGCAAGTCAAATGGAAAGGATTCCAAACTCACATGTTTCCAGCTCTCAGACCGTCAGGTGAGTTCTGAAATAAAAGAGGGAAGTTGAGAAATACTTCATTTTGATAAATAGTAGTCCATAAAATATGGTTGGAATTACTTTTGATTAATGAACATTATTAATATAGAAAGAAAAGCAGAAAGATTAATGAAGATCATGTTTTTTCCTGATTATTCTGGAAATAATCACAGGTGTGTGTACTTCTGTAGGATGAACATTTTTGAAAGGGTAGAGCTTTTGCCTTTCGTTTTAGTATTTTCTTTGCATTTATGTTTAGGGATAGAATGTTTCAAAAGTTCATTCCTAAATTTATATTTCCATTTTCTGGGTTAATGAGGATTCTTAATTATTACAGTGCTTACATTCATTTTAAAACACTTTTTATGTGTCATGCTTTGATGTTTATAATTGATTAATTTTTCATTTTATGTAGCTTTGAACAAAGGGAAGTGAGTTCAATATATGTGTTCTTTGCAGGATCCTACTGACAGGGTGTGCATCTCCCTTTGATTGCATGATTTAGGTTAAAGTGTGGTTTGACAACAATCCAGTGACTGAGGCAGCAGATGAAAAACACTGCATTGTTAAAGCTGAAAGTTCTTGTACCTATATATATATATATTTAGTTTAAAGTACCTAAACCTCCTTTTATTAATATATGCTTTATTTTCATCTTTCTGTTAATAGTTCTGGATACATAGCTCCATGAAGCTTTTTTTCTTTAAAAAATCGGTATTGTTACAAGTCAATTCCAAGTGCTGTTTTTCCATCTCATGATGTGTACAAATTGTTGTGCAATATTTTTTATTTATAATTAGAATAGGGAATCCTTTTTATAACATTTTGGGGGGTTGTGGATTTTATTCTTTTTTGTAATAAGATATTAGCTATTGCAAGTTTGTAATTTGGAATTAAAAAGCAGGCACCTCACCCCAATGTAATTTAACACTCAGCCTTAGTAGTAAAATATTCTGAAGTGTAAGCTGTCTATTACTGCTTAATGGCATTTACTGTACTGTCATATCTTTTTTTAATGAGATTACTATAGTCTACAATTTAACATATTACCATGCAGTAAATATTTCATTAAAAGAAAAGTATTTAAATGGACAGTCTTTAAAGCAGGATTAAAGAGGCTGTGCCCTGATGCAGTTAAATAGCTTTGTATCAGTAGCTGAACGTGGTACTGAAATGTGCTGAGTGCCTGGACCATATGAGGGCTTGACTTACCAAAATACTTGTGTAGGTAAATTTTCCCGGAGAATTGGGATAGCACAGGACTTGGATGTATTTTGAGTTAGCTGTGTGCTCAGCTTTGGTGGGTTACAGCCCAGGGACGTGGCAGTGTAGACAGCAGCAGTGTGAGTACAGGGGCTGGCACCACTGGAACCTGGGTGCTGAAAGCACCTCACCTTCCATATTTGCCAAGTGTTTGCACGAGCACTTTCTGTGTTCAACAATTCCCTGCACAAAACTGAGCTCATTTTGGGCATGGGTCACCAACGGTGTTGCAAAACTGTTCTTGGTTTTTGGCTGTCCAGCTATAATTAAATAATAATTCCTCTTTCAATTCCTAGGCAGAGCAGCCTGAATTTGTAAATTCTTACAGCATATTTGGCTTTTTTTGTATTTTATGTACTTTATTTGTTTTCACATAATGCATATATTTTTCAAATTTTAGGGAGTAAATTTTGATATTCCCATGTTTATGATGTGATTTTTTTTGCATATAGGTTAAGGAAAAAGTAGCTAAGTATTCACATACTTTATGTAATTTTAATTTTCTTGTAGATTTATAGACAGAAATTAGGGAGGAAGTAAAATAAATTTGTTTAAATAAACATAAGCAAAAATATCTTTATTATTTTTTCATAATTTTGTGATGCTTATCTAAGGCATTTGTATCAGTCATTGGCTTGCCAACTGCAGAAGGAAATCCCAAGTGGATGAAACCTATTTGAATACAGTTTTTAAACATTATAATAATTGGTAGAGTAATTATTTTACACTGGAAGTACACTTTAATATTTTATATACTATCGTTGTTTAATCCATGCCATTTTGTTCTTTACAAAATGGGATTGCTACAGTACAATACAACTACTTGTATTGTAATCAGCAGCTGGAATTAAGTGGAAATACTAATTAAGTCCTAAAAAATCAAAATATATGAAACCTAATGTTAAATATATATATTTATAAATATATAAATCTGCCATCTGAAAATAGTAGTCTTCTGGACTTATTTTGCATGTCTGTAATTGACCACATCAGACAGGAGGCATAAAGAATTAAGCTCCTGATAAATGATTCTGTTATGCTATGCTGACTGTTTTGATTATTTCTAACACCAGTTCCTGCCTCTTGGCCTCTTAATTTCCTTTTTCTGTCCTCTCTTTCAGTTTAAAGGGTAGAATGCAAATAGCCTTATTGTGGAGGATTTTAACTTAGAGGGAATGTTGTGAGGTGCTGTGCTGATCTCCCAGCATTGCTTAAGGTCTTGTAAAAGTGCAGTACCATAGTATAGGAAAGTCCTTGAGACTGGAACAACAGTGTGATTTCATTAATCTTACTGAACATTGCTATTTATTATTCTTCTACTGGTAAAGACAGATTAGAATCAGGTTTCCGTGATTTCTCAGCGTGACTGGAGATTGTTTTGAAATAGCAATGATAATACAAAAAGAAATCCATATAAGAAATTACTGAAGTTGCTGTATAGTTTAGGAAGAAATTTAAATGTCTGTAGCAATATCTGAGTACACTTAAATTAAGCACAGTGTTAACAGCAGTGTCTTTTCAAGCTCACAGATCCACATTGAGTAAGTAGCTTCTTCCACCTTTGTGATATTACATGGCACAAAATCGTCACCTGTACCAAGGTGCCACTAAAATGGCAACTTTAATTTTGGTTATTTATTTGGTGCTGAAACTTTTGTGACACACAACCCCCATCGTGACACAGAGACTCTCAGAAGCTCACCGAATTTTTCAGCACTTTCTAATGCTGCATCACAGTAACTGCTGGTGTAGGATCAGATCCACCTGGAGCTCCCTGCCCAGCCTGTGTAAATAAACATTTAGCAACATGCAGCAATGACAGAAATGACTGCACAGGCAGAGAGGATCGGGGGATTCTTAGAATCAGCTGGCTCTGTGGTAAGTGTGGTTCTGATCTCTTGAGTTACATGGATGAGAAAAGCGAACCAATTCTGCTTTAAATTAAAACCTGATTAATTGATATCTTTGTTTTAACCATAAATACATAGGGATGCTCCAAATTTCATTTAAAAATAGTTTGCTTTATTAAAAAAATCCATCTGAAACCTTTTTCTCTGGCATGATCTGATCACCCTGGGGGAGGGAGGACTTTGGGTTTGCAGTCACATCACATTCGGTTTCAAAATGAAAGCCGGCTGACCAGACGGAGCTGACCGCTCACTCTGCTCCGGCACATTCCGTGCCTTGCGGGCGGCCGTGCGCGCCGGGCGAGCCCCGCGGTGGCCCCTGGCCCCGTGCCCTGTGCCGGGGCTCGGCCGGGCCCTTTGTTCCGCGCCTCCTGCCTGCAGTTTCCCACTTTTCCAGTAGATGCCCCCAGAGACCATTAAACGCCGAGAACGGCTCCGCTCCGAGCGCTGCAAAGGGCAGGCAGTCTTCGCTCATTTCGCTCCTGGAAGTGACTTAATTGTTCAAAGGAAACCTCAAGTCAGCGCGGACCAGTGCAGAAAAAACAAACTCGCTTGTTTAACAATGAATCTTCATTTATTAGGTAGCAAGGTTCGAAAGTGTTTACTGTAAGGTTGTTTATCAACGTAGAAACATATTACACTAATGCTAAGGGTGGGATTTTTTAAAATAAATCACAGAATCATAAACTATCCTGAGTTGGAAGGAACCTTAGGTATGATGTTTTAACATTGATATTGGAAATCAAGTAATCTTTAGTTATCTAAAACATGAGTTGTTCTGCTTAACCTCAGATTTTATATGCTGCATGACATCATAAAAAGCAGGATGGAAAGTGTTCTGAGGACTGAGGATTTATAGTTTATCTCAAGGTATCATGAAAAGTTTGCTGCTCTCACCTACACTATGCCTCTATTCAAAAGGAATGTTTGATGGGGGGAAAAAAGGACCCTGGAATTTTCATCTGGAAACACTGATAACTGTAACTATTTTAGATTTCATTGCAGTGTCAAGATCTCTTAGGTGATACAGATACCATTTATCCCCATAATACCATTGATCTCTTGCCCAGTTTTACTATTTGTGTGTGATCAGTCACCTGTAGCTTATATATTACAGAAACTTAAAGAAACAATAGTATTATTATTGTGTGCTTTGTGCATATTAACTGACATGACTTTCATTTTTATGCCACTAAATTTGAAGGGTTTTACAATCGATAGCTTCATTGCTTGTGTGCTAAAATCAGTCCTCTTTGGCTCAGAAAAGAAATGTGCTCTGCACAGTAGGATTACCTCAGCATTATTTCAATTTCTCCATTAATTGGGATTGGATTTATTAAAATGCTCTTGGTTTTTTAAAATTACGTGTTTTACAATATGCTTTGTTTTCCTGTACTGGTTTGCTAATAATGCTTTCTTGTGGGGAAAATGTGCTTTGACTTTAAGTAAAATACATCAGTCTACAGAAAATAACATGGACACAGTTTTCTATTGGTATGAATACCGGTTCTTTGCCCAGTGAGTGTTAAAAATTACCTGAATTACATTTTGGGTAGTGACTGCTGAGATCTTTTAGCACTGCTTCCTTGTTTACTTCCAATATATCTCCTGATCTAATGCATGCACACACAAACATATACAGATCCCATTGTATAAATAAATAGTCATGTGTGTGCCTGCTATGCAGATTGTTATTCCACTCCTCTGAGTTAGATTACTGTAGGATTCTGTCCTAGGCCTTTGGAGGTTGGTAGGAATTTTTTACCTATGCTCTTCAGGTTGTTTTTTTTTTGTTGTTGTTGTTGGTTTTTTGTTTTTTTTTTTTTATTACATAAAATTTTTAACAGTAAAAAAAAAAGGTATTCCATATAAAAAATAGAGAATACTATATTAGTATAGTATCTTTACAGTATTTTGAAGCTATATACTGTACATTTGGTGTATGTCAAATATAGCATATCCTAGCAAATTGAAATTTAAATGTTTAAGCATATTTTTCATATACTTTTATTAAAAAAATGTTGCAAATTTTTATGGTGCAGAATAGTTATATCTTTTCCCTCATCTGTCTGAGAAATGAGTGATTTTCAATCTCAAAAACCATCTATTTATATATTAAATGCAAATTCAGTACTGTCTGGTCTAAATTGTATCAGGATTTATTTAATATTTTTATGCTCAGTTCTGCAACTGAAATGTGAAAAGTACATGTGAAGGATTAATATGCATCTGTGTGGCAAGAGATTTTATTTTAATTATGTCACATATGAAATAATGCAGATTATTTGCTTCCAACATCTTACATTGCTGTCTATTTTATTGGCATCTAGCTAAGAAGTTTTTCACATCAAATCCATCTTATCAACATTGTTAAAGAATTGCAGTAACTGTTTTTAAGATCAAAGTATTAGTCTCATTGGGCTGTTATTATTACACCTGAATTTATTACATACACTATAAATCTCATTTTTCAGAATTCTATATTGATTTTAAAGCTGAGATAAATTTGGATTTAAATGGTTTTTAATCTAAAAGGACAGTCTTGCAAACAGTTTGGTAACTTCATGGAATATACAAGATAAAGGTAACACATCTGTGGCCTTGACATTTTATTGGGGTAAAGGTTGGTTTTCTCCGACTGGATGACCATCCCTGCAAGCCTTTACATCTGTACCTTTGTGTTGCAGTCCCATTGGACTCATATTTTTCTCCAGAATAGGACACAATATGATTGTTTCATGCCATATAAAAGAAATATTTTGATTATTTCCATAAATAATACTTCCAAAGGTGTATTTCCACTTGAGAATATTTGATTCCACAACTTTTTGATATTAATATCTTATCAGAGTTTATGAAGGCACTAAATTCAATAAGAATTCATCATAGCATCACTTGTTTGTAAAATTAGGGAGAAATTATCAAACTTTTGCATCACTAAACCAGCTGAAGTCATATGCTAAATGGAAGGAAAATAATATCTAATGATTCTGGCATATAATATGTTTCTGGCATAGCATTTGTTTGACGTTTTTAAATCAAGCCATCCTGTCCTACAGTAAAACTGTTTAATGTATATATGTGTAGCAACATATACATATACATATATATATAAAACATATAATAACAATGTTATATATAACAACATATATGTTGTTTTGACATGAGCCTCAATTTGCCCTGTGCACTGTCTTAAAGCAAACTAAGGGTTCATTGTGTTTTCATGGACTAATGTGAACATGGGGGGGTTCCCATCAGTCAGCCTTTTCTACCAAATATCAGCTAAAGAATACCAGTGAGTTTATTTTTGACCATGTTTTCAATATATATATTGATATTTATTGATTATTGCCATGTTTGCTTCCCTAGGGTATGGCATTTGCAAGCAGATTTTAGCAGATCTCTTTTTGAGCAGGAGAAATAATACCAAATAATACCCACTCCCTGCTGCTGAACTGCAGAGGTCTCTTCCTGAAAGCTGTTGTAGTTATCTGCACTTATTTGGTAAGGTGGAGAACAGAATACAAGTTTAAAGGCTTAAAACCTCCCTTTCTTATTCCCAGTTACAGGAATTCATACAAGAAGAACATCTGCATAGACATGCTGCGCCGGGGTTATCACAAGTCCTTCTCTGAGCTCCTCACTCTGATCCAGAAGTGGAATGCCTTCAGGGAGGCTGCAGGGCCTGGGTCAGCCATATGGCATGAGAAGTCCCTGGAGGAGCAGCCTGATAAGCTGGATCAGCTTTACCACTTCCTGACCGGGGCTGAGGCAGCCCGGCGAGCAGGTAAATGGGGGGATTGTGGGTAGCGGAGCAGCGGGAGCCGCAGCCGCCAGTGCCTGGGGGAAGCTTCCAAATTGTTTCATGTATGAATTTGAAACGCTACTGCATCTTAGCACATTGCAGCCTTAGTCAACTGAGCTGTATTTATAGAATAAATGATTAGGAGCTGCAGATATCAGGAGAGGTTTTGTGAAGGAAGGGAAAAAAAAGGGAAAAACATGTAGAGTGCATTTTGATAACATCAGAAATGTTTGATGTATTTATAGCTTTGATAACGTCTCAATTATTTCTTCATAGTTTCATTATTTATTGTTTTTCTTCCTGTATTGATTTGAGTAGCTGGTTTTGTATTAGAAAAATTTAATAGGTGAAATACTGTTTCACACAGTAATACTTTTATAAATCTGTTTTTATTAAATACCCTGCTAACTGTGTTTGGATTTGTGACTGACTTAAAAAGGATTGTGAACATGTCAAATAAAATACAGCACACAGATGTAACATGCCACCTGTGAATTACTAGATATTAGTGAAGACATAACTCCAAATTACTGTATTTTCTCTATTGCCTACTATTTACTAAACACTCACATTTATCATTTCCTTTTACTATAAATAGCAACATAACTTACTCCATCTTTTTTCATTGGAATAATTGCAGGGATGGAGGCAGACAAAGCTCTACCTGCAATCTTGTGTCATAACTGAGTTTATATCAGTGTAGTTGTGTTGTTTCAAGTTGCATTTTGATCATTACAAATATGAAAACATACAGTAAAGATTGTGAATCTGGAATCTGAGCTTTTTGACTGAAATTTAGAAACAGACAGCTTCATTTCAAGAGAAAGGAATGGCAAAATAAACCCTTTTGGCACTTAAAAAATATTAAGTGTTTATTTGATGCCTGCCATGAAAGCCAAAAGTTGTGTTTCTTTATTTAATTCACTGTAATTCTTGACAGGAAGTCCAATCAGCCATAATTGGGAGGAATCTTTAGCTTTGCCTGGAGTATGACTAAAACCTGAATAGGCACCCCTGAATCTTGCAGAATATGTGGGAGAAGTCTGGGGCTTGGACTGGCCTGGCAGAAGCATTCTGCCAATAGCTGATGGTCAAAAAGTACCAGACATGGCTTATCTCAATGCTCCCTGCAGCCACTTGAGGAGAACAGTTTGCCTGCCTTCAGTGCATGATATTTTTCAGTGTTACAGGCTGATGAGTGACAAGAGAGGGGGCAAACATAAGAGGCAAGGCATTCCCAAATGTACAATTCCTGCCCTTCTCTCACTGAACTTGGCATTTCTTGTGTGCTGGGCTCTGCAAGTCCTTTCACCTCTCCCAGAGACAAGGTACCACCACCAGCTGCCTGATTGCACCTGGCCTCTAGGAGAGGGCATCTCCCAACTTTGCCCATTGATTAAAGAGAAAGAAGAAAAAATAATGAGGACTTAAGAGCTGGCAAGTGTTGTTACTGAATTGCTGGATCAGGGCATAATTTGTTTTGATTTTTTTTTACCGGTTTCAATGCAAATCTTTGCACAAATGTCTTGTTTGTATAAAATGAGGTTTGAGTTGCCTGGCACACGAAGGAGTGGATGGTAATTCCTGTTGCAGGTCTGGGAGCCAGCAGTGCTGTGAAGATTCACATGAATTGTGCAGCTCATCAAACACTAATTCAGTAGTTCTGCTAATCCGGTTACTCTCTGATTCTAATCAAATTGCTTGGGGCTCTGGCTTATGATCTCCTGACAACTCCAGTTGACACCATTTAAGAATCATTCAGCAGTTCACCTCAGCTAGAACTTACCATGATGTAGCAGCCACAACAGCAGCTGACCTGCATTTGCTCTTCAGCTGCCACAGTTCAAGCTTAAAAGGGTGAAGGTAATATTTGGGTCAGTAAATGGTGAGAGTTTCATAGTGTGGTTGATGTTGCTAATATTAGGTTGGCTGAAATTTTACCTATTTCAGGTAACAATTGTACTGAAAAAGATAGTAGCTATAAATTATGACCATAACAATTCATTGCTTGTAAGTTTTTTTTATTAATTGAAACTTCACAAAATGTTGGGGTTTGAACCTGCAGTGGCATGTGGAAAGCAAAACACTTACTTTGTCAGTAAATAATTTTCTTATTGGTTATTAATTTTCCTCATCTGTTATTTTTGGATAATAGGGTTTACTGTCTTAATTTTGAATATAACTTAGAATGTCTCATTTTAGAGTTTTATGGTACTTACCATAGTGTACAGAGCAAGCTATGTACACATTCAGTTTTCATATTTATTGGTAGAAAGTGTTAATATTGTAATGGTTTCCACAGCTTATATTCTAGGACACTACAATTCTGGACATAAATAATTTGCTTGAACTGAATCAGAGCCATCCATCACGATGTGCAGGCTGATATCAAAGAGCAATTGCTTTCTTCACTGCTGGGTTTGAAAATACTAAGATTTTGATTACCAGCATTACACTAATTGCCTTTATACACACCAGTAAAGTTTCTCTTTGTTTTCATTTTCAATAGAATATTTTGGTTGAACTTCAAATGATACGGGAGTTGTCTTTTTTTTTTAATTGCCTATTACCTGTACTTTACTGTGTGCAAAGAAAACAGCTTTTCTGGCCAACTTAAACTCATTTTTGTTGCATTTTAATATCTCCCAAGTATTTAAAAATAGGGAACTTTAATCCTTGCAGATTCTCAGAAAAATGACTGATGGAGTTATTTTGCCCTGAGTTCAGCATTATTCTAAAAGCACTGGCAGAAATATTGCCAATGCTTGACTATATTTTTATCTTGCCTTCTTTATACAAGTAAAGTAAATGTTTCTGACTTCAAAATTGAGGAAGTTTTAATTATTCTTTGATGTTCCTTTATCCTGGACTAACCTCTTTTTTTGCTAGTTCTGGTTTCAGGAACTTAAAGGGAAAAAAAGGAGGTAGTTGAGCTGTTTAAATATGCAAAGTTGTAGGTCTTTTTACAGAAGTATGCAGGATAAATGCCCAAGTAATGGATCTGCACAGCTCAGCATTTCATGTATACAGTGATTTCTTGGCACGTATGTGGAAATACTGGGGATTCCTTCAAAAGGCAAGCTGTATTTATCAGTACTGATAGTACTCTATCAGTATAGAGTGAGCTGTTTTGCTTCTGGATGTGGAAAGCCATACAAAGGAAGTTCCAGCTGAAGAACAATTAAATGAAGAGCTGTCCCTGCTGTTAACTCTGCTTTAAATATAATAAACCAGGGAAAGTGCCGCAGTTCAGTGGCTGCAGCATGTGTTGGGCACTCAGCACTGGAGTGGCAGATCACTGTGCCAAAGCCAGAGGATGGAATCCATGGGTATGAACACACCTTCAGAAGGGCAAGACACTGCTTATTAGCTGATCACTGGAGCAGCTGCTGGAAACCAGGAGTTAAAACCTGGGAGCTGCTGCCCTTCTGAGGTTCCACCTGCTCCTGGTTCCTGACCCCACTCAACCTTTGTGCTGTGCTGTGTGCTAAATGCTGAATCTGTGCACGTGCTGTAGGCTGCTGACCCTTGTTCTAGACAGTACCAGACACACACAATTAGAAAGAAGTGACAGCTTGGCTTTCTTTCACTCCAGTGTAGAGAAAAATTTTGACAGTATGAGTTAACATTAGTTTTTGTTGTAAAAGATGTCTTTTCATAAAGTGTATGAAGAAAGCATGAGTATTTGATGTGCATGCACTGGAAAATCTTTGTCCAGTATACTCAATGTTGAAAACAGTTTAGCATTTTACAGTAGAAAGCTTTTCTGTAAGGTTTCCCACTTATGCCCTAGGCTTGGGCTAGAAATATTGCAATAACCATATTGTCCATGCTATTTTGAAAAAAAAAAATGGAAATAGCTTATGCCTTAAAACAAAAAAGTATAACAAAACCCTCTTTTAATATTTGCTTGAATGAGGCATAGTTTTGTTTGCTTTTGAGGGGCTGGACAGGGGAACACTGTTTTATTTTCTAAGCAGGTTTGTCACTCCTGACTTAATATTTCATCACAGGAAAAAATGCAGAAGTTTCTGGAGACCAGTGGAGAATGTTATTATTTTTGTAGTTATCTTACAAAAAGTTGAAGTGATTCTGTCCAGGAAAGAAAGCAAACCATCTCAAAATACAGCCACTTGTAGTACTGCCATTGACTTCGACAGAAGCAGCACTTTTTAGAAAATTTCTGTAGTATATTTTTGTGCAATAGCTTGGAGTTCCCTTTTAGCATTCCAGACTACCAGTTAATTGACTCATATTTTTATCATTAGCTGGTTTTATCCTTTACCCAGTAAAATTATACCCTGACAATTTCCTTAGCATTTCTTTTTTTAATAGACTGCATTGATTAAGCATTTTCCCTATACGTACCTGGCAGTGTTGGGAGTGGTGTGCTCTGTGTACACTCTAGGAAACAGTCTCTGCCTGAAACTTGGTGTCATCATGCTCACAACTCACATTTTCACTTTCTTCCTTTGTGGACTTACAGCTAAACATTCAGGAAAAAAAATTATCCATTTATGAATAAACTCTGGAAAAAGGAGTGATTGAGGAGTCTTCTACCTATAGATGTAGAGGCATCTTTTTTTTTCTGAACAAGCAAAAGGGACTGATTCTTTGCCATGTATGGATGGAAATAACTGATTGCAGCACCATATTCAACTGAAGTTTGTGCTTCTCTTCTGGATGTGTTTCCATCCTGGATCTTTCTCTGTGTGAATTCTTCACAGCATCAGCTGTCTTGCTACTAAGTCACTGATTTTGATCTTCCTGGCAAAAGAAAAATTAGTCTTCCAGCACTGTGTGTGGTTCTGACATAAAAAATTACTCCTAGTGACTTAATTGACCTTCGGCCACACCTTTATGCGCCTTCAAGAGTGAAGGGTCAGTTACAATCCAGTAATACATGCTTTAAACAGCTAACTGGAGGATGAGTGTTAACACCTGTTGAAAAGTTTCCATATGGCCTTTGTCTGGCAGGAACAAAGCACTGACTGGTGGCTTTTTGAGTGAGAAATAAGGACTTGTAGCTGGATGTTGAAAGATTTCTTTCTGATACCTGTAGTTTAAAAATCAGCGCAAATTCTTGTTAATGGAAAATGGAACACCTGCCTCTTATTCTTCAAAGGAAACACCAAGCCAGGATCTCTTCCTGATGTTTTCATCTGTTCTCTAAAGACCATTCCCATACTTCTTTCCCTTTTTTCCACTGCATCCTGTCACAAAGGAGATCATAGAGATATGGCAGCAAGTTGTACTTGAGTCACACTAGGATGGCTTGCTGACTTTCTGTGTGTTTCTTTCCTCTCATTTTAGCCCTCTTGGGGTTCTCAAACTGCACCTCACTATCCCTTGCATTGCACTGCTTAGTAGTGGTCTAGCTGAGCACAGTAAACATGCACATATGGATTTGAGTGATCCTCTGCTCTGTGCACAGCCTTGCAGTTCTTGAGAAGAGTCCAGGAGCAAAGGTATTGTTAAGTGGGCTGATCAGGGTCTATGGCTTGAGCACAAGAGGAGATGCTGCTTGGCAGCTGAGGTGCATCTAAAGAGATCCTGATTCACAGCAGGGAATACCCTGTGTGTTTGGCGTTTAATGTTTAAGCTCAAGTTGAAGAGTTGGTTTCTTCTTTAATTTCTGTTTACCAGAAAGATCTCAGGAAGGTTTGATAGCCCAACTCTTCTTTTGTACATAAACACTCAATTTTGATCTGCTGATCAAAAAAAATGAAAATTGCTTTTCATTTTTTTGATCAACAGATACCTAAAGATGACTTGTCTATGTGTATTTTATAATCAGTTGTAGATAATGTACTCTACAAAATCAGAGAGTTCAAAGTTTGAATATCCAAACTACTTGGAGCTTTTATAGTAGAGAGTATTTACCTATTCCTGTAGTCCTCTCCTGGGGATATAAACGTTCATTTTCACTAATTCTGGCACGCTGGCTTTGCCACTGTCAGTTAACTCCTTGATTGGTAACTCAGACTTTGGAGTGAATCTAAATCACTTGTAAAAGTCTGGGCTTTGGGGCTTTGTTTTATGGCCTGGGTGTCTGGTCAGCCACTGTCCAAGGCAGTGCCAGAGACAAGGTTGTCTTTGTGCACTTCTCATTGTTATGCACCGGCAGGATCCTCATCAGAGGGTCACATTACAGTTCATTCAATCAAAGCCCTGGCAGTAGCTGGAGTCTGCCCCAGGTCACTTCCATCCCTTGGGATTTGTAGGGCACTACCTGAAGTTATTTGAGTAATTTTATGTCACATAAGTGCCTTGATACTTTGTAGCAATGATTTCAGAGGAGCAAATCTGTATCCAGTGTGTCTGTATCCAATGATGATACAATTATCTCTTCACTTTCTGGCTTATTGCAACCATTTTAATACATCCTCTGGTATCTTGGAGTTCATTTTCACTTAGCTGTGATCTAATGTGTATTACTATTTTATGTTAGTGGTTATAATTAGGTTTTGAATTTTGCTGCTCATGTGGTAGTGTGCTTGTGGGAAGCTCTGCCTCTACTTCTGAGATAATCTCTAAAAACATTCCCTTGTGCTGCAAGCATTGTTCAAGATAAATCTCATCCAAGAAGCAGCTGCTTTTCTTCACTGTGAGGAAAGGAATCCTAGGTAACTCCTATCCATATCTAAATTGGTTAGTTTGGATGAATCCCAACTGGGTGTTGACTTTATCTGTGTGTGTTGTCCTGGTTTTGGCTAGGATAGAATTAATTTTCTTCTTAGTAGCTGGTACACTGCAGTGGATTTAGTATAATGTTGATATGTGTGATAGATAATGATGTTGCATAAATGTATAAATATATGTTATAAACATATACAAATACAGGCATATATATGTATATGTGTGTGTGTGCGTGTACACACATAAATATACGTATATTAAGCCAAACCTAGTTTTGTTATTGCCATTCCAGAATCATTTGAAGAGATTTTTATGAGGCTACTGTACCAAAATTGTCTTAATTTCTAATATATAAATAGGTTTTATACAATGCAGACTCCAGGATATTGTGAAAAAGAGGCACCCAAGAGGTGCTTCTTCAGTCCTGAGGAGAAACAAAAGGCATGAAAACTCACAGCCATGAAGAATATTCAGATTAGGAATACTTGAAGTCTGTATATTGATAATTATTCCTCTCAAAGCTGAATTTCAAAATTTAATCTGATGTTTTGGTTTAAAACCTTAGATGCAAATGATATGATAATATAAATGTAATTTCTGAGCTATTTCTTTTTTGGTGATTTTAAAGAGATTGTGAATCACTCATTTCTTGGAAGGGATGTTATGTCTTTTAAAATACTAGAAATAGAAATGTATATAATACACATTTCTTCAAAATCATAATTTTATATATTTTAATGGGAATTATTAGAAAGGTAGAAATCTGAGGTTACAACTTCCCATAAGGCAAAATTCTGAGAAAATAAACAAGAAAACAAAATAATAAATAAAAGTAATAAAATAACACAAGCCGTAAAAAAAAGTATTTTTTACCATTAGAGGAATGAATTTTTAAATCAAAAGATAAAAAGAGTGTTCAAGAATGGGGAAAAGGTTTCAGCTTGATTTCAAAAAACTTTAAACAGGAAGAATTCAGACAATGTCTCTGAAATGACCAAGCTGGAGAAAAAAGGAGGGGAAACAAGTAGTAGATGAACATCTTGAAGACTATGGACATGATTAGGTGGCAGCCCTTTTTCTCAAAAGAATAAAGTCTTTCCTTTGTTGTGCAACGCACTGAAGAACTTTAACAGGATATTCATAAGTCAAATAACAGTCATGACAACAGACTGAGAGATTTACATTTCTTCAATTAGATCATATGTAATTTGTAATTTTAAGAGAGAACATACTAGAGAGGAGGCTGACAAATCCCTCTTGTGTGGTTTAGTGATGAATTTAAAGTACTTGTTTGGGTAATTGCTGCTGTGTCCAAATAGTGCAAGTGACTTGCATAGGTGGTGCAATTTAGAGCCATTAAACTCACTGTTTTGGAAGTTGGATTTCTTCCAATTCTTCTTGTAGATAACAGAAGAAGAGAATTTAACTGCATTTTTGATTGAAGTGTTTTGGTATGGTTGTCATAGTTTTAAAACACTTGTGAAAGATCTGGACTTCAAGATCTTGCCGACACTGAAAAGATTTCTTCTTTTGCAGTTGATTTCTGTGTGGTGCTCCATACCCAGAATTAAGAGGGGTTTTTCTCCATTTCCTCTCTTTCTAAGCAAAGCTGACAAATTGCAGAGCTCCTGAAAACAAAGCAGTTCTGTTCATACATCCAGCTTAACCCAAAAGTCTCTTACCTGCTGCCAGACCTGTGCTTCTTAACTCCTTCTTTACCCAAACACGTGGAAATTTCTTTTAGAGCTGGCTGCTTGGCTCATATTCATTTAACAGCCACAAACACACTAAGTAGCCCACCAAAACTGCAATGGAATTTTACCTAATTACTCAATTTCACATCTGACAGGAGCAGAGTTTGCACAGGGAATTAATTTATATTACCCATGAAACATACAGGTTCATGCTCTACTTTATTATTTCATAGATTTTTCAGCATCGTATAAGAAATAGATCTTTCAAATTCATTTTAGGGTGGGAACAGTATAAGATTTGTCAGGAAAGTTTTAGGTTTCTACTCCAAATTAGTAAAGTTTTGAAATAATTCAAGGCTGATATCTTGTGGGGGTTTTTTTTAAAGGTGGTTTTCCAAGGGAAATAAGTTGTTATTCTATAACTTTAAATTGTAAATAATTTTGTATTGCTATTCAGATTTAGGACTTGCAGGTTTTTTGTAAATTTTAAGGATAATATATGTTCATTCAGTTGTCTGAGATGATAAAGAGTAGAATCCAAACTTCAGGCCTTGGAGAAAATCTGTGACTGGTTTCCACATTTGTTCTGAGAACAATTCCTTGGTGAACTAGGTGGGGGGTTCCTAGGGCAATGGGTGTAATTTCAGTTTGTCTTTAATTTCTAAGAGTGCTAAGGTACTAAACATGGGAATATACCTGGAAACTCAAAGCATGTCTTGTAAGTCATACTTTTAACATGTAAAATTATATTAACTAATGGATTGTGTTTGCAGAGTGTTCTTTTTGGTTCTTCATCTCCATCAACACAGTTGTTACCTTAAAGGTCCAAGGTTTGGAAAGCTCTTAGGACTTGTCAGGGCCCAGAGGCCCAGACAAATGTTTCTCTGGTCTCACTCTGACTTCTCTTTTGACTAGCCAGTGTTTTATCCAGGTTCTGTGTGTTTTATTGAACTGAATTCCAGTTTTGCACACAGAAAGGAGAACAAAAATATGTTTCCAATCGTGCCTAATTTGTAAGGTTATAATTTTCCTCTTCAATTTCTCTGAGTGAACACACAGCAGAACTTGATGGTATTTGAATGGTGGAAATAGAAATAGCTCTTAATTTTCATTGTGATTATTGCTATAACATACAAAATTTCTGAACACTGATGATAATAAAACGTTTTTATTTTGATTTTTGTTTTTAAAGGGCACTATGAGAAGGTGTATGATAACCAGCTTAGCTTGGCCTGCTTTTTCAATGACCCTGAGGACAAATGGTTAAGTAACTACTTTTATGAGCAAAGCTATAACACTGCTCAATTAGTAGAAATTGATGGTGGGAAGAGAAAGGCACAAGCATATGTAAACATGGGCATCATCGAAGAGGAAGAAGGTAAGGCACTGACATCACAAAGCTGCTTTGGGTGGCATCTCTAGTTACACAAACTGGGCTGAAATAAAAGAGCTGGGGACATGTAGTTCTGTAATGTTTAATCCTGCTTCCAGTTTACACTTAGCTAAACATCCTGTATTTTTGTTCTTTTTAAAATGACCTTCTGGCTCTCTTGACCATAAGTGACACCCTCTTTGTTTGTTCCTGACTGTCACATTGGTGTTTGCTTCAGCCTTAGACCTCACCGCCAGCTCTCTTTCTTCATGTACATCCTTAAACTGTGAGTCTCTGAAATCAAAAGATATTAACAGAAGTGACTAGAATCATAGAGCAGCCCATGCTCTGAGGGACCTTGACAGATCATCTGATCCCACTTTTCTTGGGAAAGGGAGCCTAAATGAGGCTCTTTTAGCACCCTGTCAATCGCATCTTAAAAACCTCCAGTGATGGGGGCTCTACCACGTCCCTGGGGAGCCTGTTGCAGTGAACAGTTGTTCTTACTGTAAACTATATTGCTTTCTTATATCAAGGTGAACCTTGTTTCTGTATGTAAGAGCATATATTACCTTTCATGGCAGAGGGGTTTGTGTGTGGATAGCAGTCTGAGTATAAAAAAGGCATTTTCCTCTGCCTAAAATCCTTTCATGGTGTGGGAGGGCAAGCAATAAGTAAGCCTCAAGTAATTGAATAAAACTGTTTTCCAGTTCTAATTTGTAAGTGTACTGCTGCTGCATGCCTAACTATTGCTTAAAATATGTGATTTGTGTAGCCACTATGGTTTTATTTCTAAATTTCACTGTGGGTTGAAACAATTCCAACTCTGAACTCGACTTGTGGTTTCTCATATGAAGTGGCTTCCCTTAAAAAAAAATTGACAGAAATTGAAATATTTTGTGGAAATAGTCTAATTCCATTAAATGTCTGGTGGAATGGATGTGTTTTGAAAGATGGCCCCATTTCCCAGCAAAAGCCTTGACATAAAACAAAAAGTCTGCAGCTTTTTTTTTTTATTGAAAGGGTGTTGTCCTATTTTTCCTCTTGTTCTCTTAGAGCTGACACATGGCACCTTTTTTTTATATTTCCTCACATCTTTCTTGCCTGCAACACCCAGACCTGGATTCAGTTTTAAAATTTTAGCATGTACCAATAATCAGTAAAATGGAAGGATTACTTTTCCTACACATGGTATCATCCAGGTTCCCAGTTGATAAGATAGCAGTTGCTTAAAGCCCAGCCAGTCACAACCAATCCATTTTTCATTTTGAATGAAAAATGCTTAGGTCGGTTATCTATCTCTTACTCAGTAGAATAACATTACTAAAAATTTGCTGGACTTTAATTTTCTTTTTTTTTTTTTTTTTTGCAACCTTTTTACTTTGTACTTTAGTTACTAGAAAATAAAATTTTAAGAAGGTGCAGACAAGCAAGCATTCATGTCTACTTGCAACTTCAAAGGCAGTGTGACTCACTGCTGTTACCCAAGCACTGCCCCCAAAAAAAAAAAAATTAACATTTTCTACTTTATGATGTCTTAAGCAAAAGTTGTTGAATACTTAAATATCTTCAGGCCCATTATAAAGGCACATAAGTACAGTTATGAAATAGCTTGAGATGATCAGAGAAGCAGAAATTTTATTTTCTTGCTGAAAAATATTAGAAACTTTTAGAAGAGAAGCTTCTTATTAACCTTATTAATGAGAGATAAAGCAAAGTGGATTTTCAGTGCCCAGGGTAAAACTCCACAGAATCGTGGGCTCTGTCTGTTGAAAGTATTTTATTTCCAGAGAGAGAGAGGTAAAAAAAAAAAAAAAAATCAAGAAGCTGAGAAAGTAAGTATAGAATTTGCTTTGAGGGACCACTGAGAAAAAAGACAGCAGATGTATTCCATGCACTTTGTATTTTCAAGGGTGAAAAATTCATTCAAGGGCAAGTTCTGATTGGTGAAAAAGTGTGAGAGGACATATTGGGTTGGCATTCTATAATATTCCATCAGTTTTAATGGTGTTATAAGTAAAATTTTAATTCTGCTTTTTTTTGTTCAGTTATTTATAATTTGATAATTAATTTGTGAATCAAATTCGTCAGATTCCCTCTTCTCTGGGGGTGTATCTACAGGAATAAATGTAAACATCTGATCCCAGTTATTTTCAGTTCTCTTATCCAATAGTGTATTTTTCATTACTTGGGAAAGGAAGCTGTCTGTATATGCTTAGGACTGATTGCTTGGGAGTATAAAGTTAAACATGGACTTGTAAAGATTGCTGTTTGCCTTGGAAGAAAATCAATAAATTTGCTGGGTAATTTTTGTGTAATCAAATTTAAAGTTCTTTGACTTTCAGCCTGGTCCCTGTCCTAGAGGCTGGATATAACCTGATGTTCATTAATCTTCAAAGCTAAATATTTGAGGTGTTGGTGGTGTAGACTTCAGTCATGATATTTGGATGCAGGCCATTAGTAGCTGCCACTAAGGGAAAGAAAACAATAAGAAGTGAGTAGCCTGCTACAGAAACAAATGGAATATTCTGCTTGGAGCAAACATGATTTTAATGGCATTTCTTCACAGAATGAGATTTTTAAGCTCTTCCCTAAAATACTCTGCCTGTAAAATAAGGTCTGAAGCATTCACTGATTATTGTAGGAGTGTTCAGATTTTGATGCTGTTCAATTAGCTGTGCTCTCCCTGTAGTTTCTTTCCTCAGAGGGCTGATTATAAGTAATTTTATTACTTTTTGTTACTCGTTATTTTATTTGTTTACTCATTTATTACTTATTTTATCACACAGCTCTTTAATGTGCTGATGTTACTTTGCAGACACTGAAATTGCAATGACCTAAACACATTTTTCTCATGTTAAATCCAGAATTACTTGTTGTGATAGAATCTCTTAAGAAATGTAAGTTTAAAAAAAAAACTTTTCTTCCTGTACTTTCAATGCATTTTCAAAAGTAATATCAGTCATTATAACCATATCAGAGAGTAAGATTATAATCACAGTTTATGATAGATTATATTTCTGTGCTTTCTGCTGAAGTTAATTGTGAACCTGAGGTTTACACTGTTGTATCTTGCAGAAGAAACAGTTGGAGTCCACTGAAAAACACCGTGTCTAGTATTGTTTTGTACAGGTTCTTATGTCATTGCAATATTTGAGTGCTTTCTGTTTTGTGCTAAATGCTTGCTACCTATCACGCATGAAGTGATATGCACCTTAAATATATGCATCCCAAAGTTTAAAATAACTTATATCAATAAAAAGCTGGGGTAAAAACAGGAGTTTGTACTTGTAGGAGCTCTTTGCTTCAAATATGTTACAACAAAACCAGATTAATTTCTATATTATTCAAAAGCATAGCTCAACCAGGCATCTGAAATTAGGGTACCTGTTAGTTGTAGTGCTTTGGGAACATTTCTGGATACATTTAAATAACTGTTTGAGAAAGCATTTAAGTATCACAGTAGAGTCCAATGAATAAAACTTTCACAATTAATTACAAATGTGTATCAGTGCCGCTCCAGAACCTGGATGTCCCCTGCTATGAGAGCTGTGTAGAAATCATGCCATTATTCTCAAGGCAGTGGTGGCTTTGAACTAGTCATCAGACTTAAATTCTGCTAGCACATGAGGATCAACAAAAGTGGAGGTAATACTTCATCTGAAGTCTTTACAGGCTGAAAAGATTAAAGCCAGTCAGAACTAGTGAGAGTAAGGGAGCAAGTGCAAAGCAATGTTGGGAATCTCCGAGTTGATTCCCACAACATACACCTAATCCAGAAACTCAGTTTTGTCCATGTGTGTGTTTTTTAGATTGCAAGAGACCTTATGAGACCTCAATAAGGAATTCCTTTAGTCCTTCCTAAAATAGCTTAGACATTTCAAAAATCTGCCATATCCTGCAAATTAATGAAGGGTTTATAAGTGCTCAGTCCTAATCCAGGTCTGCCTTGATTATAAGCAATATTAAGGTCGGATTGCTTTTCAAACAGAGCAATGTTATGCCAGGGTTGATCACTTCTGATCACTTTGCACCTACCCCAAAAATATTAATTAGTTGCACCTGATGTATTTGAAAAGGTGTAATTGTTTTATCTGTGATCATGGATAAAATATGGTCTATTTCATGTGTTGATAGAAATTTTTTTGATAGAAACTTTTCTGTTTGAAAGACCTACTGAACAGGGGGGACTTAGAAGTTTCATTAATTTGTTAGGAAAGAAACCACCACAGGATTCTTGCAGAATTTAACAATCTCATTGAAACTGAAGTGTAGTATTTTCCCTGTCACTTTGTTGAAATGCAAGTTTTTATTAAGGAATTGCAGAAATTGATGGAAAGGTTCTGATTGTTTAAGGGGCATGTCACAGAATGGCTCGATTGGAAGGAACCTCTGAAGATCACCTAGTCCAATTGCCCTGCTAAAGCAAGTTTCATCTGAAACAAGTTGCACAGGATAGCTTTGAGTTATGAAGCTTAACTATTAATTACTGGATATATTTGCTGAACAACATCTTAAAGCTGGTTCATGGCATCTTTTGGAACATAAAAAGTCTAAACTGTTTATTTTCTTGTTCTTAGTCAGGAAATTCTTGCTAAGAATCCATTCTTACTAAGAAATTGTTGATTTTGTATTTTGAATTGTTTATGACAAATGCTTTTTAATTGAAAACTGTAATGTATAAATAATTGAGAGAAACTCAGCATAAATTCATGACTATCTATGCAGAGGAAATATGCACGTTTAAGCAGAATTTCCCCAATTGGTTTGCCTTCAGGCAGAAATAATTTATATTCAGATATAAAAAAGAGAATGTTAATATTGCAAAATGAAGTACTAAAAAGGTTTAAAAAGGCAAAAGTTAAAATTGCTTGTGAAATTTCATATGCTTTTGTGTGTGCACAATTTGCAACTTCATTGTAATTACATAAAAATATAGTTTCTTTTTAAGAGATTCCTAAGTATAGCCAGAATAAAATTTATCTGTGGAATTGGTGTCCCACATA